GCATGCGTATAAAAAACATACATTTACAAAAATGACTCAATATATTTGCACAATTCAAAATTGGCAATTAAAATCATATGAAATCTAAGCCAGTGAAATTTTCAGAGCAATCGTTTGATGATTAGAAATTGTGAAACTGTCCATTTGAGTTGCATGAAATTGTTGATGTGATTCAATTTGGCCTAATTTCTACGTTATTAATACACAGGCATGGGGTCAATAAAAAACCGCAATGATAGTGAGATAGGTGACATATGTAGCACACAATAACTTTGAGAAATGACTGTGACGTACCTTGTAACGTGGCAACCGATCGCTCAAATTTCACAATATCGTCCAATTATTGCTTTTCTTACATTTTTGAATAAATCCGAGCATGTTTATACAACCCGACGATACGGAAGGCTATTGCCAACAGACATACGAACAATTACACGCATCATTGAAATCAAATAGAGCTCCGTTGAAATTTTGTATTCGTTTTCAGAACTGTATTCAGCATACAGTATTCTTAATTGATTTTCACACATTTTTCATGTCTGTACGAATCATAAAATTTCTATTCAAGCAATAGACTTAAGCACCAAACTGCGTTAATGAAATATTGGTTCCAAAAACTCTATTCTTGATACAGGATTCATTGAACTCAATCCTTGATGTAAAATTTAAAGCAGTGATATATTTAATAATAGTGAAAAAAGGATTGAAAAATAAGAAAATAATCCGAATTATTTCCATATCCACATGGTGATAAGATCTAAACTTGGTTATGACGCACGATTGAACGAGGAAGACGGATTTTCTCATTCGTTTGCATTTGTAGTTAATCACATAATTTGGTGACACTGCTGTTTAAATGACGCAGAATCCTATCAAGTGAATTCGCGATGCAACTACACAACTGCATACAGATTATGTGGATTGAGTGCACGCACTAAATATTCGTGGAAGCCGCGATGTTTAACATGGATTCTTTTGATGAAATGACGCATTAAGAAAATGAAATAACAGAAAATGTTTTCGACTGGATTATTCCAAAGATTTCTGTGATATCTTAAATTTAAGATTTGTATAATGTTTTCGACAACATTTTAGGATACTAAAAAATCAAAAAAAAAGTACGTAGTAGTATTGAATAAGTCGTTAAGTGTTGCTGTTTTCATAGATTCGTTCGACTGTACTGATACTGATGGTTCAATTAGCTGTGTGTTAGGATAAAAGTGACTTGCCTCTCTATCTAAATAATAGATCTATTAATCAAAGGAGTATTCCTGGAGTTTTAGGTCAAGAAAATTTTCGTGAAAAAGTAGACTGTTCAAATAATGTAGTAGAATATACATAGTATACATAGCTCTGAACCTGTTCTGATGATATGGACGAAAAAGTCCAGAAACATAGCCAGAAATTGAAAAAAGCCATTCTTCAAAGCAGAGCCTGCCTAAAAAAAAGTTAGAATTTAAATTGCGTTCTATGAAATAAAAATGAATTTCACTATATTACATATATATTATATAGTGACTATAAGAAGAAGAGTAAAATCCCAAGAATAACAGGCTCTGGTTCGAACTAGACTATTTACAAAAAAAAATATCTTGGAAAATTGTCTTTCTTCAAAAATTATTATAACATATCATTGATTAAAATCACTCGTACACTTACAAACAACTCATCCGATTGCACTGTCTTTAATGCGACACTGTATAAATCAAAATTCTATAAATATTCTTACCCTTCATTTCAAAGGTAACAACCATAATGACTCCATGCAACGAAAAATACAGCAAAGACACTCCACATAAATGAATTAACTGGCGTATAGTCAATGCCATTGTCGTTGATTGATTTGATAATGACAGCAAAGTTAAAACGGTTTGAACTGTTCGGGATTCGATAATGAACTGATTGAAAACTAACGCGAGATAATTTATCATAGAGCCGTTACATACGGTAAACTGTTGCAATTTCATACGCATCAAAACACTGTTGAATGTATGTACACTGCAATTTTCCATCCCATTGATACCGAAGTGAGATAGAAATGAAGAGATTTGAAAATGAATACCGAATCAACATTACTGAGCTTTTGGTTGTCGATGCACTGACTAACCGGCTGACCGACAGACGGTGTAATTAATGAATTATGTTATGAAAATGAATTTGATGAAATTCTGATGTCGCTTTTGAATTTCACGCAGACAATTAATGAAAATATGAATAAAAGAAAATTGTGGTCAAGGCTGCCAATGTTACAAATATAGTTATTATCGTAATACAATTTAAGAGACACACGTTTTTCGATCGAAGCGTTATGATTTCAAAAAACGGGGAAATTTGTTAGGACGAATTACGGAGCGAAATCAAAACTGAGCTAACTAATAAAAATGTGGCTGGATATGGATGGATTTTGTGGGATGCGGCATCTCCATTTAGTGTTATTTTGATTCTTTTGTTTCCTCAATAGCATTGGGCATTCTTAACCACCGTTAGGCATTCATATCAGTTGATGATTCCATAACTGACGACACGTTATTGAAGGCTATTGGCACACGCATTATTAAAGCTATGAATTAAAAATAAAGTGGTTGATTGGCGGGGAAAAGCCACCGGCTGACATTGTCGTCCCGGCACAAGCTGACTTGCATCACATCTAGGAGAAACCTTGTTGATTAACCTTTTGTTCGTCTTTCGGTTTTGCAACATATTCCCGCCTCTTGAGGCATACAGTGCCCCATATGTATTTTATATGAAAACTGGACTGTGATAAGGGGTAACGATTTGTTCTCTCCAGCAATGTTATAGTACTCTATCCGCTCTACAACTTTATGGAAGATACCATCACGTTATCTCTTATCAGTTCCACGAAAAACCACGAAAACGCGAATGATCGTCACTTCATTTTTAACGGATTTATTTAAAGATATGAGATATCCGGTTTCAGCAAAGTTGTAGAGCAGGTTGAGTACTACAATTTTTTCTGAAGACATCATTTCGTTATCTCTTATCAGTTACGAGTAAAATGATAAAAAAAAACTCGCGGTTTTCGCGGTTTTTATACAATACAATATGAGATTTTTGATAAGTTTTGTTTTCACGTGACTGATAAGAGATAAGCGATATTTGTCTTCAGCAAAGTTAAAGAACAGCTTGAGTACTATAATTTTCCCCTCGCGTTATTTCGTTATCTCTTATCAATCACACGAAAAACGCGAATCCATTCTTATCATTTTTTGCGCAACTGATAAGAGATAAGAGACATCTGTCTTCAGTAAAAATGTAGTGGACCTTAAGTACTATAACTTCGTCGAAGTCAGCAAGTCAATATCTCTTATCACAGTCCAGTTTTAATACGAGATTCGAGATACACTTAAGGCACTGTATGCGCCAAGAGACGAGCAATGCAAATGTGTGCTTAAGAGGCAATATCTCACACATGCTTGCTTACACATATATGCGCATGAAAATTAAGTGGTGTTAAGCTAAAGGTTCAAGCTATCGAATGGTACTAAATTAAATGTTAGTTTTTTGATTTTTAGTACTTTTATTTGCAATTTAAAGTCGCCTCTTATCGTTATTGTGAGTTCATCATAACGCTATGAAGCGCAATAGTAATATATTCCAAAACCTTTCAGAGTTGCTTTTGTCCCTATCGGAAGTTCACTGACTTGAATCATGAATAACGTTTGAAATGTCATTTCTTACAGACATTTCTGCATTTTTTTATACTTCCAAACTAAACCGTATAGATGCCGTTGGAGCATGCATTGCTGAATATTTTCCATTTATAGCGCATATTATTGTTGGAAACGTAAGCCGAAAAAGCTATAAATGGAAAAGATTCAACAATGCATGCTCTAACGGCATCTATACGGTTTAGTTTGGAAGTATAAAAAACAGGCTTTGTTATGCGCTAAATCCATCACACTGAATAAATTCATGCGATAAATGTGATGCGCTCGCTTTGCGGTGAACGAGGTCTGTTGCTCTCGCATAAATCTATCGCATTAATCTATCGCATGAATTTATTCAGCGCATAACAAAGCCTGATAAAAAATGTAGAAATGTCTGTAAGAAATGACATTTCAAACGTTATTCATGATTCAAGTCAGTGAACTTCCGATAGGGACAAAAGCAACTCTGAAAGGTTTTGGAATTGCTGAATATATTACCATTGCGCTTCATAGCGTTGTGATGAACTCACAATAACGATAAGAGGCGACTTTATGCCGTTAGAGCATGCATTGCTGAATCTTTTCCATTTATAGCGCATATTGTTGGTTCATCATGTTGCTCAAAATACTGATTGTTGGGTCATTTTTACACTTAGCTATTGGAGACAACTTAACCGACTTAGTGAATAGCACGACAAATACGTTAAACTTATACGATCAAAATGCCGATAATTCGATTCCATGGAAAAATTTAACAAAATTCGTTGAAGCTCTGAACATAGACATGCAAGACTTCTAGATGTTATCAAGAGCATTCATATCAACTTGTTAGATAATATAACAACATCCTGAGGTTGAACCAAATATATTAGAGGAAAAATTTTAGTCGAAGTCAAGTGGTATATGCTAAAAAGTTAGAAAATGAAACAACATAAAACTGATACGATATTCCTTTTGATATTTTTCTTTTTTTTAAATAACATAAAGTCAATCACATTTACAACAATAATAAACTTAAATCATTAAAAGATATATATGTAATTGTATGTAAGCACAATTCCACAAGATACTTAATTCGTACGACCACACCAATCAAAATTTCAAAACGACATTTTTTACAACGTGTGTGTGTGTGTGTGTGTCTGGTGACAATAAAACGAGAAGAATAAAAAAAACGAGTTGATTTCAGTCTATTGGTAATGCTAATCTCATAACTCAACGATTTATTTATTTGTTTCACTAGAACTCGAGCTGATCATTTGTCAAAACTCATGAATTGTTCTCCATTCTTGTTGTTTGTTCATTTTTTTTCTCTCTCTCTCTCTCTCTCTCTCTCTCTCTCTCTCTCTCTCTCTCTCTCTCTCTTACATCCAATGATATCGAAATCAATCAAATGCAACAGCACAAATTCATGATTTTTTTTTTATGTAAATCACTTTTAATGTATCAACTTTGAATTTTACTGGAATCAAATCGATTCGTTTAGGAAAAAAAACAACAACAGCAAAAAAAAAAGAATCTTTTCGTGTTAGTGAGATCCTTTTGTCTTTTCATTCGGAGACGTTATTTGATTCAATACAACATTTGGCGGTGCATAAGTAGCTGAGGTGCTATTCGTTGCGACACTTCCATTTGTAGTCGCTTTGCCAAAGCAACATTGCCATCTAAATTGCAAGGACCGGAGGAAAAAAATCATCAGCGATTAAATATGTTCATGGTTCACACAGGCTGATGCTTGTGCCGATTCCATCGCCATAATTGTTTGTCTTTTTTTGTTTTTATCTAACTACAAGTATTACTGATATAAACGAACCTTTTCTTAATCAAACGCAATACACGACGTTTCAAAACAAACAGTACAAATATTAAAACGCCTTGTATCGCGTTGCAAATGTCGGTTAATAAGAAAAAGTAGCTTTCTTTTGAGATCAAAAATGATAATCCCTCCATACTCCATGTTACACCCATTACGATAAAAAGTCGCAAGTATAATGTGAAACTGTGAAGAAAATGGAAAAACGAAATTTATTTTTTAATCGAATCTTATTTTTCTAAAAATGGTAAAAGTTCATTTATGCTTTAGATTTCAGGTCTTGAATGGAAAAGTATCAGTGCTCGTTGACTTACTTGTCTTTGTCATGATTGAATTTGCTTTGATGTCGTGAGCTCTCCTCTTGCGATGTGACTTTCTTAAGATCTTGTTGCACTTTGCGAATTTTCAATGCCGTCAATAGGAAGAAAATAATGTTAATGGTGCACACAATGCAGATTGGCATGTAAAAGAATATGAATTGTGACAACACCGTCTCTGAAATTCGAAGAAAAATTTCATTGAATAATTCGAAATGGTTTGGCATTAACAATCAATGCCCCAACGGAAATTGATTTTTAACACATTGAAATATGTGCATTGAAACATGGGAAAAGAGAAAAAAAAATCGCCTATCAAAATAGATATATTAGAATTGATAAGCCATTTGTGTTGTCAAAATGACGTTCATACTTTTCAAAAAGCACGTTCCAACTCCCATGCCTGGTCGTAGATTTTCTGAAAGTGATGGCGTTGAATCGAGTATAAAAACGACAATTGTTAACAATGATGCCAAACCCCATGCATAGATCATGTACAAAACGAAACGCTTGCTCTCGGAGAATGTAAGGAATCCACTGGTTGTCCTATGAGAATATGAACAATCATCGCGTTAAACACATTATAATTCATAACATTGCTACAACAATATTCATAAAAAAATTTTGCTAACATAAAATGGTTAACCAGATAAACATTTGAGGCTGTGAGAATGAAAATGGCAATACAGGAATAAACATTCTGAAACGCATCAAGAAAAAAATTCGCAAAAATGAATCATGAGTTCTGAATACGCAAAAGTGAAACATGAATTTACATGGGCAGCATAGGAGGTTCATGGTTCACTTTTGCGAATTTTTTTTTCTTGATGCGCTTCAGAATGTTTATTCCTGTATTGCCATTTTCATTCTCACAGCCTCATTTGTTTATTGAACAATTAATACTTAAATGGCCAGAAAAAATGTGCGAATGACTCACCGGAAATTCCACCATAGATCAAAACTAATAACGCTCAACCAGAAGAAAGCCGATAAAAGTGAGAAATACATGAGATATCCAACTGATTTGCAAATCATAGGCTCAACATAGTCCATGCCATTGAGCTGCACCAAGCCCATTGCTGTGTAACCGAACACGAGACCAATCAAGTAACATAGCAAACATTTGCCGTGCAAATTTCGTAATTCCGGCAAGCAAATATAAACCAAAATCGTGGCGAGTATAAATGGTACTGATAAAAGCATACCTAAGTAAAAAAAGAATAAGAAAGACACGAGTCTGAAAATGACAAATTGTTGACTTTTCCTATTATTTCTTCAAAATAAGATGGTTTTCGAATGGATTATGAAATTCCAATAGAAATAAATAAGAGAATTGAAGAGAAACAAATTGTCAAAGTGTTAAAATCAAATACCGTTAACAATTGAAGTTATTCATCACTTACCATACGAAAAGATCAATAAACGTGTATTAAGTTGGTCGGGCGTTTTAAAGCACATCACCAGATTTAGTTTGGCTTTGTGGGTCTCATGGTCCGGTGTGGCCATCAAACAATATTGACTGTGTGACACGGTTTTATTCTCATACATAATGAGTCCTGTCTGTAATGTAAAAACATCATGAGTTTTCATTTTTTTTTTTTTGTCAAAATCGAGATAAAGAAAAAACCATCGAAGTCATTACATTTGTCAAGTTGTATTCACCAGCTAGATAATAATTGCTGCATGGTTTATCATCGACATATTCAAAATGCTGATCCAATACAACTTTTTGCACTTTATTCTGTGTATGATCGAATACATCGGATTCGAATTGATGGGCCGACTCATTTTGGCTACACTTTCTTTTGCCAGTAACGGTTGCGTCGTAGAATGATCCAATTGGACAACACAAACGAATGCATGGTCTCTGATTACACAGACAACCACGTACATATGGTTCAACGGTGACACGTTCCATTCCGTTTTCCAGGATGTAATTTATTTTTGTATATTGATCGTTTGCAAATCGAATGTCATTGTATATGATACTTCCGTCATTTTGTTTAACACCATCGGTGATATTGACCGAATCGAGATAATGGCACGGTAATTCACGGCTCAACAGGAATCCATTGCTCCAGTTCACAGATATAAAGCCAATTGTGATAAACAGCCACACGCCCATCGTATGCAATGATAAATGAACACCACCGCTCATTTTCTCCAAAAAAAAAAATGCTGAAAACGAAACAAAGATTCGAACCGTGTTAAATGATATGTTAGTTTATGGAGAGTTTTATGCCTAGTTTCACTAAATGATTGATAGGTATAATAAATTGGTCTCGTTTTCATTTTTTGTGAAGTCATTGACATTACTCATCAAAATGAAAACTAATCCCCCGAACCGTTTTTGATTGTGATGAAGAGAACCGGAGCAACGGAGAAATACAAAAGAAAAACATGAATTTTAACACAAACCAAATGAATGTAGTCGAAATATAAATGCTCTTCTCCAAGTCGAAACTGTCTGTTTAACAATTTCAACTTAAATCATACAATTTGCATTCACTCAAGTCAAAAACCCCATCACGAGCTGAAACACTTAACATTTGCCATAATCGAATTGATTTTATTAATTGACGTTTAATTGTCGTTTTTTTTTAGATTAAATTTGAATGAAAATTGGCATGTGGTTTACGCACTTGGATATTACAGCATGTAAATAACGGAAATTGAAATGCTCCTGTTGCGAAGTTAAAAAACGAAAACCACAAATCATTTCGAACTGGAATAATGTGACACTTTGTCGAATGATGACGCTACAAAAACCTAGACAAAAACCCATTTTTGTATAAAACGATAACGAAAAAGAAGACGCACGCACTTCGATATGGACGGAAGACAGGTTTGAAACGCGCGCAAATTCAATCTATCGCCGGCGGGATCATCGACAATAAATGAATTGTTTTAAAGAAAAAAAAACTTTTGCTTGTGCGTTAAGTGCCCAATCGGGTTTCTTTGGGGGAAAAACGCTCTTATTAAATACCAAAAATGCAATGAACACGTAGCATTTAGACGTACATTTATGCACTTTGAATGTGAGTTACATACAGTTGGTGGAACTGTATCATCGGTCGGGCTTGAGAACTCTGAATGTAACTATCCGAATCACATGCGGCTGCACTTATTTTATACTATGCAATAAGGAGTGCTCAAGATCATTTCTTTTGCCATAAGCAATTAATTACAACGACGACACACTGCCATGTGGAATGGCAAGCAATGAATGATTTGAATTGATATAGCATGACCCTGGCTCATTTTGTTCTTTGCATGCGAATTGCACACCGTGAAATTGGGAAAAAAAAGCAGAACAATACATTCCACGAAATGTGCTAAGAGATTTTTTTTGTCAATTTGTTACCATCGAAACAAAGAACACCGCAAATGAGTAGATTGATGGTACGATTTTAATACGTAGAGTCTACAACTTACATTGGCGAGTTGCGTCTCACTTTGACAAATTCTTTATTTTTATGTAAAATTTCTCGTTCATTTGAAATTGGCCACATTCACGAAATTAAAACTAGAATTCGTCGATTTGAAGAAAAAAAAAATAGTTTCATTCAAAACAAAAAATAGTTTTGAAAATGTAAAAGTCGTTTGTGGGAATGATCATAAATTCGAATGAAAACAACATTAATAAGCAAATAAAGGGTCTATTGAATGGACTCTATTCATCGTATGACGTCTAGCACATTTCTATTTCGACGTAGTTTGTGTCGTGACTGAGCCGACAAATGATGCTGTATCGAATGAACGTGTACATCTGCCGTGATTTCATGATCATTGGACTTTTACAATCATTCGATCAATTAGCGATGTTAGTTTATGTGTGAAATAGCTAAGCCAATGTTTTGATTTGGAGTAGGCGCAGCGGCAAAGCGTTCAAATCATCAATGAAGCGTCATTGTTTGATTATATGGTTTCGCCTGTTGAGCATATTTCAGCGAAATAAACATTGTGGTGTCGACATTTACACAACATTTTTTCCCGTTCGCTTGAGGTTTTTTTCACAATTTGTAATTATTATTCTAGCGAAACAAATAATTGACACTCTCAATTGGAATCAGTCATAGTAATAATTTTAAAATGGATTTCGTAACAAATGAACAAGTGATATTTGTACGCTCGATCCGATTTCTCAGAACGAGTCCTTCTGCTGAATTATGGCGAGAAATGAGGAGAAACACGAAAATTTAAGAGGAATTAAAATAAAGCGCATTTTTTTCCGATTTCATTCTTGTGAAACACTTGGAATGCGTGTGACTATGTAATGTGCGGCGTTTTTTTTTCTCTCCGTGGATATCTATCTTTAGAATGTGTATAGTTGTTATTATATGTAAATTGCTGATGATGCCCGAAACGTGTACGACGATTAATTCTCTTAGTGATGCGTCTATTCTTGTTGAGACGACACGGAAAAAACAAAACAACATATTGAGTGTGTCAAAAGCAAGCGAAATCAAACAAATTTAATATCAATTTGTGTGTGTGTGTGTGTGTGTGTGTGTTTGGCATAGAGCATGTGTGGATGGTAAATTTCGGGAGTTATAAAAAACATGTATCATATTTATTCGCCACAAATAGCCGATGACATCCTAATGATTTAAATGAAACTATTCATTATAGCAGTGTGAACAATTGCTACGGCCGTTTTTATGCTACGACAATTGCTACGTTTGTCATAAAAATCGTAATTCCGTTGAAATAACAACACCAGGAGGAAAAGAAGAAGAAAACGAAGAAGGAAATGAAGAAGGAAAAGAAAAAGAAGAAGTAGTAGAAGGATAAAAACACAAATCGATGGAGTGACCAATGATTTCAATCTTTTGCTCGTGTCGTACGAAGGGCTAGGCACCTGATTCAATATCCTTTGTATTCGCCGCATTTCTTGTGTGATTGATTTTTATCTTTATTCATTTTTTATCCCCTTGATTCGATTAGTTGTGGTTTTGGTCAGTGTCCGCTTCTAATAGGGGGACATTTCGTATTGTTTTATTTATACAGAAATTCTGTAACAGAATATCGATGCAAGTGTAAATAAAGTAATAATTTTGCAATCCCCCGATCACTTTGAATGTCAATTGTTGCCAATTGCATTCAATTTTCTGTTATTATATTCCAATCGAATGTGAAAATCAACTGAAAACACCATTCGAATGGAATTAAAACATCATTTATATCGATTTGAACGATGTTCTAAGCAATTTTCTTATTGAATCGTCACATCGAAGTTCAGTTTCATCGAACGAAAGAAAGAGGGAAAAAAATAAAGAATGAGAAAAAAAGTTATCGTCGTCATATTTAGTTACGCTTTCCTCTAACGTATAATCACATACTATGCTCGATTCGAATAGAATCTGGTTGTTGTTCCGTGTCAAGTGACCTCACTATGTAAATGCAACGTATACAGTCGCATCGATGATAAGCGATTTAAACGTTGATCAACACCAAATTGTCATTTCTTTCTAATGAAATGATGATAACCAAGATCCAACCTATTAACTATATAACTTTTGGATATCACTCTCATGTGTGTGAACGAAATTTGTCGACGTTTTGATTGTTTTATGTATATTATTTTATATGAATATTTAAATTTTTCGCCACCTATTTGGTATACTCCCACTTTGTCGCTTCGTAACTTTTTTAGTGAGTTAATATCAAAGACAAAACAATATCAGAAAACATCAACGTTTCGAATGATAATACTAAATCGTGGCAACCGATGATGGAAATGTAGTAAACAATGGCATTTATGCTAATTATTTGAGACACTTTAAACTTTCGACATATTACCAAAGACAACCAAACAACAACAAACAATTAACAATCATTTAAATGCTTACACAAAAACCGAACGTTACGATCGAATATTTGTTTTCTTCTCCAAATGCGATTGGGTTTCTTTTTTTCTTCTCGTCTTCTATTCGAGGAGCTAAGAGTATTTTCGATAATAACCAAAAAATGCTGCTTCGTCAGAAAAAAAAACAACAGAATTTTATTTGTTATTTAACTTGTGTGCTGTGTAAAATTTTCGACGAATTGATCACTCAGTATACGTCTTCACGCGCTTATGCTGAATGCGGAATCGGTACATGCTGCCTCGTCAATGTCTGAAAACAAACTAATAGCCACTGGCTATCTATATCGATATTATCATACGAATATGGATATGCGTCGTAACACACATGGGCGATTGTTGTGAAACCTGGTTTAATGATATTAGGGCGGCATTTTCATGATTTAACACGAAACTCTTTTTAGTACTACATGAAATGTAGAGCTACTAATCTGCTTTTTTTCTTCTCTCAATACTTTCTGAGTGATGAAACAAATTATGGTAAATTTGAATTTTATGCTCATATTTTTTAATTACATTAATTTTTCGTATAGTATTTTTCTGAGTCTTGAACAGAATTAAAGTGATTTTAGATTCTATGCTCATATTATTCATTCAATTCAAACCAGAGGCAGGATATTTCAAAAAAGAAATAAAACCAAGATGTTGTAATTCATTTTTGAAATAGCTGAGAATCTTTTTTCTGTACTTTGTTGCAAAAATATATTACTTCAGAGTTACTTTGATGAAATACATTTCATGTAGTGCGCCAAAAAATAGTTTGTTGTGAAACAACAAAATAGAATAAGTAACTAAAAACTCAAGAACGCAGAGAGGAGCGAAGCGACGCTGTTTTTCTCTCTGTTGTTCTTCACACGCAGTAAATGTGTGTTGAGCAATGCGTATTTGTTTATAGTTTTCGGTTGTTTGTCTGTATTAGCCATCGAATCAGGTTTTGGGTGGATTTCCGGAATTTGCCTTAGTCATGTTATCACAGATGACCACCTTGACTACATGCACGCTTGAAAGTGTTTTTGTAAGTTGAGCTTTTCGTTTCGACACAACTTTTCGATGCAAGTGTTTCTATGATTGAATTTTAAAAATACAGATGTCGTACCTGCAGCGGAATTTTAAAGCCAGACAAACGAAGTATTTAAATTCAAATTTCACTAGAATCGAATGTTGGTAGTCATCAACAGGGGATTTGCATTCTATATCTATTTTTTGAATCATCATTCTGGAAAAATGAATTCCTTCTAGAAAAATCAAACAATTCATCCGAGTAATAAAGATAAGGAGTGTCTCTCTCAATGTTACTATATTTATTTGTGCTGCAAAAAAAAAACATTTTTTTCTGCTTCATTCGTAATAAGTCATTATGAACAGTGAAATGTGTGTCTGTCCCATGTTGTTAATTATCATTTCACCAAAAAAAGAGAAAGAAAACAAATGTTCTCACTGATGATGTCATGTAGCGATAACGAATTACAATAAGAAACGAAGAGAACAACAACAACAACAACAACAAATACATCCATTTGTAATCCATAAAATGACGTTGTACTAATTAAAAATCTATGTTGCTTGACACCGACCGCAGCATATAAATTAACCAACCAGCAACACAAAGGAGCACACATCCCAATGGGATCAATGAAACGACAACAAATTGTTGAGCGGCTCGATATCAAAAAAAAAATGATACCAACCATTAATACATTCTTTATGTTTATGTGATTTTTCCATGTTGATTCGAGGGCGAGAATTTCTTGTTTTGACCAAAAACAAAAAACAGAAAATTATTCCATATGCGAAATGGAAGAAGAGAGAGAAAAAACACAAAGAAATAAATATAAATGTTTGACTGGAGTGACATTCCATGATCCCTGGAGAACGGAATATGGTTTAACATTCGAAACAATAGTTCGTAAATATGAGATGAAAAAAAATAGCGAGAGAGAGAGAGAGAGAGAGAGAAAAAACGTATATAATTGTCACTTGAGAAACGCAGCGCGGAACCGATGGCCACATATTGGTTTTAAATTTGTCACCATTTCTACCATGCTGACACCGTGCATGTGGCATGAAGGGGAGTGAGGGTATTTTGAAAAGTTCACCTCTTCACATATGTACGACTCTGTAAAATGCACCGAGAAATACAATAAAAATAAATGTTCAACTGGTGCATCGGAATACCTGAAGCAATCAACAGAATAAAAGCAACGATATTTTGTTCTGTCTTCGGAAATTGTGCTTGAGTATTTCAGCTTAAAGACGGCAGATGTTATTGTGTGATAATAATTTCGCTCTTCAAACAAAAATATGGTTAAGCGCTACAAAGTGGCGGCATTTAAGGAAATGTTCGTGCATCAATGGGCTGAAAATGGACTGTCATTGCCCATGAAAAGGCAATTGAGAATAAATGTATCCAACCCACCGAAATCGATCGTAACGATAGTCTTGGTAGAATGAAAACAAATGTGCTCTTTCCAAAATAGTGATTATATGATTAAAATATCATTAAAAACGCTGTAATCAGCTGTTTGTTTCTTCAATGGCTTCCAATCAAACGAGCAAAACAAATTTCGATCTATAATTACATTGCGATCATTGTTCGAGTAAAAGAAAATGCGTTTCGGTTAGGGGGACGTTTGTAGCATCCCAATTTTGATATCAATTTATCAGAATTCCAGCCATTTTAATCCAAAATTTCTTATAAATCACGCCGAATAGAACAACAGATTAGCCCATTAGTAACAACAAATGAATTGTTGGTCAAAAGATCATTTTGCTTAATAAATGGTATTTCCTATCTCAACAAATTAAAGCGACAAAAATATTATGCTTTTTTTGGGTTAAATTCTTTCATCCGAAGAACGAAAAAAAAAATACTCATTTCAAGTTGATCTTGTCGCAATGTTTTCGTATGAATTCATCGAAGGAGAAGAAGATGTCTTGTGCGTAGAGTAAAGTTGAAACGTATCATATCAACAAATGAATGGGAGAGAGAGAGAGAGAGAGAGAGCGAACAAGAACACACGAAGGCCACATATTTTTTCTCAATGCATTTTAGTGTTTATTCTGCTTCTTCTTCTTCTACTGCGTGTTTTTTTCTTCATCTCTTCGAGAACAAGAGGAACACATATCACGCAGGCTACATGACTCATGCATGGAGGAGTGAATGCGCTTTGGAAATTATTCTTTGTATTCGCTAACATCAAGATGTGCTCAAATGCGCAACCATAAAAACTACACACACACACACACTCTACGAAGGAATTCTACGAAATATTTATGGTTGAAATGGTTAATTTTTTTATTCTTCTCTTTTTTTCTCTCATTTTCTCCATGGTCTAAGTTTTTGAGTGACTTTTAGGAAATGCATTAGTTCAAGCAATCAAAGGATGAAATAGGTAAGAAGAAAAGAAAAAAAGAACGTGTAAGTTGTAAGAGGAAATCAACACAATGCTCATTGTGATATAATTGATTCATTTCGTTGAGATCTACAGGTTTTAACACCACACAGTATCCTTCTCTCGTTCAAGGTGAGAGAGTCTTTTTTTACTTCTTTTTTGAACGATTCTTCTTCACATTTGTCTAAAGTCAACAAAAAACAACAACAATAATAAAAAAAAAACAGTCAGTTTGTTGCAATTTCTACGGCAATTTTTAAAATAGCATTCATTGCTTCTACTGAGTCGTTGATTTTTCCTCCTCTTTGCCTTTGCAAAGTTTCGATCGAACTTCGGGCAATCAATGATTGCCATATTGCAATCGACAACACCAATTTTCCCACACTGGATTCCGAAAAAAAAATTGAAATAAAAATAAAATGTTTACCGCCGCGTAACCCATTCAATGACCAATATGTTTTCGTATTTCCAGTAGAATTGTGCTTTTTCCCTTCTCTCTTCACTGCAATCATGTAACAACGCATTCGGTAAATCCAGTGGCAGTAAAAAAACCAGTTGTTTTCAATCAGTCGGTGATTTGTTTCTCATTATTTGATTCGAATGTTGCACAATAAATTGGCCTGCAAATTCAACGGGCAAAACCAAAGGGAAATGTTCTCGCATTGTCGTCGTCATCGTCAAACAATGTTCTTCACGTATGGATCGATTGCATTTGGCATTAATTCATGAATGGATCTTTCGTATCTCATATGGATATCTTAAGTGCGATGATTCGTTAAAATAAAAATGAAGAATCTCTTTTCTTCGTAGCCTTAGAGATCTTCAAGCCGCCAACAATCAAGATGATAGGTTTTGTGGTGCATGTGCATACTACACACAGGGTCATGTGATTCACGAAAAAGAAATTCTGCCTGTTTTTTTTGTGTTTTGATCAATTACGGTATCTCGTTAATAATTTTCGTTGTTGTTTGCTTTAATCTTGAAATGCTCGATCGCATACTGTGCCGCTTTTCAGGTGTGTCTGAAGATTTGTCTCAAGATAAAAATGACTTTTTTTTTTTACTGAGAGAAGAAAATTAAAAGCGAAAGAGAAACGAAAATCCCGATGGCTTCAGCAGCAGCAGTAACAACAACAAAAAATACACACAAAAATTGTGACATATGAAATGCAACGTAATAAATTGGATTCTCACACAAAGAGGTGAATGAGATGCAATTGCTCCGTGTGAAATGAAATGACGCACAAAACAAGTTTTGGAAATGGGAACGCACACAAGTGCACAAAATGGAAACATCAGAGCGAGCGAACGTGAGCGCGCACCTTCAATAACAAACGGTTCGCTTTTTAATTCGAGTGGACGATCGACACGAAAATCAACTGAAAATAAAAATAAAATTATTAAAACGAATCGAAAACTTGATGCACTTGTTAACGAAAGTGGGCGCAATCGATGTCGTCGGCTTGGTTAGGTGTTTTTTTCTTCTTCTTCTTTTCTTCTCCTTTCCTTTGCTACTTAAATGATGATTGCTCTTTAAGTGCTTTCGCATGGAGTGTAATATCATCTGAATATACACAAGTGATAAGTAAATATAAATCATCTAAAGTCTCTCACTCTCTCATGCAGTCATACACACACACACACACACACACCGTTTGCGATTTCGATCGCATCGATTTTTTTCCCCGATATATTTGCCGTCAAAAAGTCGTATTTGGATTTCGCCTTTTTCTCTCCCTCTCTCTCTCTCTCCCTCTCTATGCATAATCCATGGTAAACTTTCCAAATCAAAGCCACGAACAAAAAAATCACCCATCTATGCATACAAAACAACAACAAATGGCGTGCACGA